AAGCCGTGCAATGTCTCGGCAGGCCGTGGATGACACGAGCCTTTGGAGCGCGCCTTGGCACCCAGACATTAGGCTCCGCTTCGACATCTCCAGCACTGCCTTCAATCTGTCACGTTCTCTCTGCTTGACAACTTCGAGCCCATGACTGTCAAAGGCGTTCTGTGCCTTTGCGCTTCAGCCAGTTCTCAAGCAGCACTTTGTACCCCCCCCCCCCCATCCAACATGAGCGCGCCAGATCTAGGAGCGGTGCCCGCGTCGATCACGACCAAGGATGAGTACGATACCTGCCTTGGCAAGCTGACCTTTGTGGACGGCCTTCCGGACGACGCAACTGTCCAAAAGGTTTATGATAACCTGGATCGGTCGAGGGGCGTTAGTGCTTTCCTGGACATGGTGCCCATGGCCTCACTGGAAGCACTGAGGAACAACATGGTGAAAGTTGGAGTAGATGCCTGCCACAAGATTTTGCTTATGGAAGGCCTCATGGACTGCCGATCTTTGTTTCTCACCGGGAACACGGACACAGTTTATGCCATGGGGCTCATGGATCTCAATCGCGACGGGCCGACCGTCATCGAGGTTCCAGCCGGAGCAGGTCCTGGCCTGGTCAACGACGCCTATTTTCGCTATGTCGGCGACATGGGTGCTCCGGGGCCCGATCGAGGTGCAGGGGGGAAGTATCTCTACCTGCCACCCGGCTATGACGGCACAGTCCCGGAGGGCTACTTCGTCGCGAAATCGACTTCTTTCACGAACTGGATTGCGCTCAGAGGCTTTCTGAAGGATGGCAAGCCTGACCATGCTGCTCAGATGTGGCGTGAGGGGTTAAAGGTGTATCCTCTGTCCAAAGCCAGCAGCCCTCCAAAGACGGAGGTAATCAACTGCACAGGCAAGATTTTCAACACGATCCACTCGAACGACTTTGAGTTTTACGAGGAGCTGAACTCTGTGATTCAGTACGAGCCGATAGACGTCCTGGATCCAGAACTCCGTGGAAACCTCACGGCCATCGGCATTATGAAAGGGCGGCCTTTCAAGCCGGACCAGCGGATGAAATCCTTGCTCACAGAAGCGGCCGCGATTGGCAACGCGACCTCCCGTGCTTTGTCCTTCGCTCCTCGTTCGAAAACTGCTCGGATCTATGATGAAAGCAGCGAGTGGGTGACGGCTTTCGATGGGGGTGACTACCGCTGGCTTGTGGAGGATGGAGTTGGGGGCCGGAATGCAGATGCGAGGACGAGGTTCTTTTACTTCGCGACAGGCAACACGCCGGCAATGGTCATGAAGATGGTGGATCGCGGGTCGCAATATGCGTTGGTTTGCAAGGATGCCAAGCACCGATATTTGGACGGAGCGAAGGTGTACAGCCTGAAGCTGCCGCCCAATGTGCCTGTCAAGGACTTCTGGTCCGTGGTCGTCTACGACCCTATGACGCGTTCCATGCTGAAGACCAGTCAGCTCTTCCCCTGCCGAAACTCTGTATCCCACACCGACATGAAGCAGAACCCGGATGGCTCCACGACGATCTGGTTTGCACCTTCTGCGCCGGCAGGATGTGAAGGGAACTGGATTCAAACGGTAGCCGGAAAGATGTGGTGGGGATGCCTCCGCCTCTACGGACCTGGGCAGGCTTGGTTCGATCAGACCTGGCGCCCTGGAGAGGTGCATGAAGTTGAGCCTTCCACGGCTGGATATGCTTGAGCCTGAACAGCTGAGTAGCTCCGCTCCCGGAAATAGGGTGGTCCAGGCTCCGACTTTTGTCATCTTTTCCACACGGAGTTTTGAAGAAGCACCACTCCCAAGCAGAAGCCTTGGTGCAATAAGATGTTGGAAAAGGGTAGCCAGCAAGAAGTGGCAATACGGCTACCGCAACTATACGACTAACACTGTGTCTGCTGCTGCTCTTTGCTGCTTCCACGCCCTGCTCAGCCTCCTCCTCCTGCTGCTGCTGCTGCTGCTGCTGCTACGACAGAATCAAGAAGGATCACCACGCCTATTGCCTCGGCAACTAGTTTTCTGCTTTGGTGTTTTCCACTGTTTCTGCTGCGGCTGCTGCTGCAAAAGCCACACCACTGCGGGGGCTACCTGACCAGACCGTTCCCTCTTGCCGAAGCCCAGGTGCGACACTTGGACGTGACTCTCCCCTGCGAGATAGATGGGCCGTTGCACGCCAGGAAAAAGACTCCTTTTCAGATCTTGCCCTCGGTACAACTTCAGCAGGTGACAGCCGTAAGCAAAGTTTTGGAGTCTGGGGAACTTGCCAGGGATTTAGGAACCCATTGGTTGCAAGATCCAAGGTCAAGGCCAGGATCTGCCTGCAGCGGTGCACGAGGGGCTTCCGATTTACAGTCTCGTGACGATGATTCGTGGTCGTTGGCTTTTCAAGCATTTGCATGCAGCCGTCCAGGCTGTGACGCATGTATAGAATTGGAATGCTTGAGTATCTGAGCGACATTGAGACCAAACCGTGAAGACACTGCATGTGAAGACAGGCAAGAGACATTGGAGTAATCCTGTATGCATGAGCAGCAACGCAACAGATACACTTAGTTTTCGTCTCGGGATTGCCATGACATGGCCGTACAAAACATCAAGACACCAAAGCAGGACTCGCCGTAGTGTGGTGCGATATGCAAAGATCCAAGCCATTCTCACATGGACAGCTGCTCAACTTTGCAGCGATTGGACATGGATGGCTGTTGCGTTTCGCCAACATGATGCACGTCTTCGTGCTGTAGCATTTGCCTAGGCCTCTGTTTTTTCAAGCTTCTCGTGTGTTGTGTCTGTGTGAAAGATTTGGCTTCGCACTTGTGGATCCAAGTTATTGTGGGCGCACATGGTGTCTGGTTTTCGACAAGCACGTGCCAGGCTAAGCATTCATGTCTGGATCTCATGCCTTATGATGTGTCTGGATTTCCTTTGCCTTTCGCGCTGCATGCTCTCCTGGCCGTACAGGTGCAGAGGAACATTTGCGAATACGCATGCAAAAGCAGGGACCCCGTTCCTGCTCGTGGTGCCACGCAGCTTTGTTGCCCGCGACCTAAGGTTTCAGAGTCGCAAGACTCGTCTTGTGGCATGCCTAGCGGCCTAGCGATTGCATGGATGTCAGCATGCGAAGTCACCGGCCTCTAACGAAGGTGCTCAGAGCTGGCAGAGTAGCAGAGGCACAAATTCAGTGCAAGCGACGTGAGTTGCAGCAGCTCGGACTGAACCTCCTTTTCATTCAGAGTCGTCAGGGAAAACCCAACACAATGAGCCGACCTATCACAATGCATTCAGGTCTCAAGCTTTCTTGCGCTGGCGGTACTGCTTCCAGGCCGAAGCTGCATCGACAACTCTGACCTATGATAGTAATAGTAACTATTGATAGAATTTTTAACGGAATTTCTGCAAATGTCGTGACAGAGGAGAGCAGCAAAGCTCCGTTCGGATCTCAATTGATGGCCCTTCCGAGGTTTGCAAACATCGTGCACTGACGCCACAGTGGGGGTGTAATGTTTCAGGGGCAAAGGCACATAACGCAAGGCCACCGCACGCGACAGATTCCAGGGAGATAGTTTCTGTCTGTGTTTCGGTGTTTAATTGGCTTCCGTCTTGCATCTTCAGGAGCGATGGTGCTGAGATGGCCGCATTGTCGCAAACCCATCGAGCCTACCGGCAGAAGGTATACAGGTGCCTGAGGGGATTGAAAGTCTAAACCTGTTGAGAGGCTTCTTCACATCGCAGCCTCCAGTACTCAGCAAGTGCTCGCATTTCTTATGTGTCATCCTTCTCTGCTCAAGCAAATTTTGTGCACTCTCGTCGCCTGTTTTCCGTGCGTTTCCAGGCTCGAACTTGATGACACATCCCTGGTCGTGACTGACTGTTTGTTCATCTACAATTTGGCTGCAAGCTGCAGGGACCATGACCACTGCCGGCGTTTGGGATCCCAACCAACATGGCATCGCAGCTTACCAGGCATAGATTGCAGAGTCTGGTGCCAGGCTTTGAACGCTTATGTCCAACTTGCAATGCTTTGCCCAATGCTAGAGAGGTGCGTGTGCAGGTGTATGTACACAGAGATGTCTAGAGATGCTACAAACAGTCTCTCGCCTTGCATATCTCTGCAGTCTCAGGACATGAAGCGAAAATCGTCCTTCTCGCTGCTGGACCAGACCAAGCGGCCCATGCCCACCGGAGAGACTCGTCGATGTTGGTGGCCTATTCTTGTGCGGTCTTTAAGTCGGCTCCGCTTGAGATTACTTGAGGGGGTGTCGGACTGGTTACACCGAGGACGAGCATCCCGGACAAACGGAAAAGATGGAGAAGCTTTGGAAGTTGATGGACCCCGCGCTGTGCTGGGAGGGTGTTTGGTGAGAGCAAGCACAGTGCTTCTGGTTGCCAGGAGACATATGAGCCAAACGACCCGGAGTCCATCCAGAAATCTTTTGCCAGACACTTGGAATATTCGCTGGCTTGCACGCGCTTCAACTTCACCATGCAGGACGCTGCTGTCAGCTCTGTCACATTGTGTTGCGTTGGAGAGTGGGTGTAGCTGCTCTAAGCCTAGCGGTGCTGGGGTCTCGTGTGCAGGATGCCTACCGAGCAGCTGGCTTTGTGCTCCGAGATCGACTCCTGGAGTCCCTGAACGATACCAATGCGTACTACAGGCATGGACTCTGTCGGTCGAGTCTGCTCTCCTGTGCCATTGTGGCGCCCGGGAGGAAGATGGATGTGAAGCGTGGGTACTACCTCTCTGCTGAATATCTGATCGGACGACACATGCAGCAGCTTGATCGCCATCAGTTCGTGGCCAGCAGCTAGTTAATTGAAGGGGCCTGCTGAATGAGGAATGCCATTGCGAACCTCGACTTGGAGCAGCCCTTCAAGGACAAGTGTTCCCACGAATGTGTGTTTCGGAGATCTTTACGGTGTGCACAGCATCATGACCGCCAGGAAGCCTTTCACGCACTCGGCATGCAGCTGGAGGACCTGCTGACTGCCGCATTTTGCAAGCAGCTCGTGGCTGTCCACATCAGGACCTTTTCCATGAGGAGGCAGACCCAGCACTGGGTAATGGTGGTTTGGGCCGTCTTGCCGCGTGCTTCCTCGTCAGATGCTGAGCGGGGTGGTGCAGCAAGCATCGATACAAGAAGTGACAGAGTCGCAAGGACTCGATGGCAACTTTGTCACTGCCTTGCTGGGGCTACGGCATTCGCTGCTCGTCTGTTTCGAGGCCCCTCCCAGCCCAAGTGCGTGAAGGGACACAAGCACCGAGGCTACAGCTACGGCATGTTCAAGCAAGAGATCCAGAACGGCCGACAGGCTCTGGCTCGCTTTGTTTTGAGCCTTGCTGTGCAGTTTCGACTTGGCAGGTCGAGATGCCGGACTTCTGGATTGGGGATGGGTGCCCATTCGAGATCCCTCGTCCGGCAGCAAGCTCAAGCTCGAGTTTGCTGCTTTATTTTTCGTGCGAAGCTGTGGAGTGAGGATATCACCTATCCCGTTCGGCTTTACGGTGAAGTCGTGGAGGGCCTTGATGCGAACGGTGAGTGGTGCTTGAGCCTGGGCAAGAAGTCTTAGCCAACGAACAGATTTTGAGACTTCCTAGTTTCTAGCATGTTTGGTATGGGCATGCAGCGTACATTCTTGCAGCCAGGAATTGGGTGGGTGGCGACATCGTTCAGGCTACTCTGAGTGCAGCATTGGCAGTCATGCGACTCTTGTAGCACTCTGAACATATCTCCCAGCGAGGGCAGTCACTCCAATCATTAGGCCATGGCCTACGACAACCCCATTCCGGGATTCGACACGTACAACACGAACAACCTGCGATTGTGGCGTGCCTGCCCGTCCAAGGAACCGCACGTCTCAGCATTGGCTCTTCTTAACCGGTGCATACGGCATTTATGTGGCTGCTTGTGACTCTGGCAGAGGAGTTCGATCTGGACCAGTACAGTGCAGCTAACTTCACTGATGCCGTGGAGTCGCGCAGAAAGGCGGAGGACAAAGCAGACCGAAGAAGGCATGTTTTCAACGGTTTGTTTGGCCGGTCCGGTGAGGATTTGTCTGCCGTCCTGTACCCGAACGATGCGACCTACGAGGGCAGGGAGCTCCGCTTGCGGCAGCAGTGCGCCCGGGCCAGCCCCTTCATGAAGCAGCTGCCACTCTGATCACACATGCTCATGCCGTGAAGGTACTTCTTCGTCAGTGCTTCATTGCAGGACCGATGTGCTTCGAAAGGGCTGGCCAAACAAAAATCATATCCCTGGAGGACTTGCTGCGCGAGTTCATCAAGAGGCCCAACTACAAGTGGTCGGATCTGCCGGAGAAGGTCTTCCTCTTGTGCTTCTGATGTTTGTTTTTTTTTCTTCGTCCTCACACTGATTGGCCAGGTTGCTGTGCAGATGAACGACACGCACCCGACCATTGCTGCTGCCTAGCTAGCATTGGAACTGCGACTAGTCGTTGCGTTTTGTGGCGCGGCCGCAGGTGGCGGAGTTCATGCGCTTGCTGGTTGACGTGATGCGTGTGGGATGGGATGAAGCATGGGACCTGACCACAAAGTGTGACTCGCATCGCATTGTGGGAGCCGAGGGCTAGAGGCCTTTAAGGAGGTTTGCGAAGCTCAAGCCGTTTCAGAATATATGGAATGGGGCTGAAACCAAGGCCTCAACTACACCAACCATACCGTGATGCCCGAGGCAGCCACAGAGTCATGGGGAAGCCAGCGAAGCACCCGTGGCTTTTGAGAGGCACTGGAGAAATGGCCTGTCGAGATGATGACCCGCATGCTACCCCGTCATGTCCAGATCATTGGCGAGCCTTGGAATGGAGAAGTGCGGCTTTAGAACTATAGAAATAATTAGAAATGCTGCGTTTTTAGACGCTATGGACGATCCTGAAGCTGGACATGTGCTGAGGAGCTGAACCTCCGCTGGGTCCGACGCATAGATGACTATCAGTGCAACGCTACAACGAGGGGATGTGGCAAGTGGGGTTTTTCCTTTGCGCTGAGCCGAGATTAATGGCTTGGTGGCGAAGTACGGTGACGGGCCCATCATCCAGGCCCTGCGCCTTGGTGGCAAAGATGATCGCTCTTTTTCGGCGGGCGGAAATTCCTGCAAAATGGCACTGCAGCAAGAATGCGTGGCCGGCTGGCTTTAGGGCAGGTAGCTGGCTGGGCGGAAACTGTGCTCGAGTGATACATCGCGCTTCGAGCAGCAGCCACGATTCAGGCGCATATCAAAGCATGTGCGACGCAAGCAAGCACGATGCAAGCGCATGCAATTCGGGCACACGCACCAACGATGAAGGCAAAAATGTAGACGCAAGCATGCAAAGTTCAAGTTCAAGCATACGTGATTCGAGAGGGTTTAGGATTCTTGCGTTTCTCAGGTGATTGGTTTTAGGGTTTCGGGCTCTGAGGGTCAGGGCTTTAGGGTTTAAGGCTTGAAGGATTCGGGGTTGCAGGTTTAGGGTCTTATGTTAGGAATTTTAGGGTTAAGGGTTTGGGGGTTTAAGACTGGGGTTTAGAGATTTCAGGGTGTGCAACTTGTAGGTTTCAGGGTTTTCGGCCGTCCACCGCGTCAGTGTGCGAATCACTGCTGCGTCACGGCGCCGTTCAACGTGTGAATCAGCCCCGTATGCAAATTCGCCGTGCGGGAGTTTGCGCCTGGTCGAGTGACAGGGAAGCCGAGGAGCATCTTTGAAGAGGGCGATGTCAAGAAAATCCGCATGGGCAACCTGGCCATCATGGGTTCCAACAAGGTGCGACTTGCCTCGTAGGTCGATGTCCAAGAATCGCGTCTTGTTTACGCTGTGCGGGGGTTGTACAGGTGAATGGCGTGGCCGCGCTTCACACGGAGATCATCAAGAAGGCTTCTTTCCGGTCTTTCAGCAAACCCAGTGTGCCGCTATGAGTAGTTGCATGGCCAGGAGACATTCCCCGAGTTCTACAAGTACTGCTGCGACACCGGTAAGCCAGACCGGTCCTCAGAGCGGCATAGTAGCATGCCACTGCTCGCATGCGGTTTACCCTGTTGCCAGCAAACAAGCTGACCTTTCACAGTTCGTATCGTTTTCGCATAACCTAATGCGTATTCTTTTCTTGGGATGTCGGTCACGAGCGTGTTGCAGTTTGCGATGCGACACTTGTTCGAAGACTGTGAGAAGTTGTGGGTCAGGTGCAGGCATCGTACAAAAGCACTAACCACGGTGAGGAAGGGACTTTGCTGGGAATGAGGTGAAGTTGCAGCCACCATACATGGCAACGAGCTGAGGACAAGATCGTGAACATGACTAACGGCGTGACGCCGCGCCGGTGGGTGCACTGCGCCAACCCCCCATTGAGTGCTATCTTCACCAAATATCTTGGCTCCCACGAGCAGCTTGCCGATAGATGGCAGTGAAATCGTTGATCAGGGGTTCTCCCAAAGAGCCGAGTGGCTTCAGCAGCATCGCAAAATTTCGTTAGGTGGTTGACAGACATGACGAAGCTGAAAGACATGCTGAAGTTCAAGGATGATGCAAAGTTGCACGCGGAGTGGATGGAGATGATGCTCGGCTGAAGATCGGGATCCATCTCGGAATTGACCCTGCATGTGTTCCTGTGTCGTTTCTACATCATACAAGAGCGGCAGTGGAAGTCATCTCGCCCTGGGAAAGCGGAACGGAGCAGCCTCTCGTTGTAGAGTTGCAGTGGTGGTCCCGCAATATTGCAGGAAAAGGACCGCCAAAGCAAAACTTGCAGCCTACGTCAAGGAGATGAGTGCTGTCTTTAGAGACCGCATGTTGCAGCAAACGCACGGAGTGTGAGTGCTGGTTTCTGCAGGAGAAGATGGACTTGGACATCGATCAGGACAAAGTTCTCGCATCACGAGAACGAGCCTGCAGCATGTGCATGGAGACAGCTTCAAGCACGGACACCGCCAGGATGCGCTCCATTCAAATCAAGCGCATCCACGAGTACAAGCGCCAACTTCTCAATTGCCTTTATGTCATCCATCGCTACCAGGCAGCGTCTGTTCTGATGCTGCTTTAGCATCTTCCTTTCCGGATCCCCATGAATCAAGCATGTTGTCGATCTGCAAAAGCCTCGTCGTATGCTTCATGAGATTGGCCTCAAACTACTTTGGGAAGAGAACACGGTGGAGTGGAATTGAGGAAAGACGTCAAGATCTTCCTCTCGTAGACTTCACCCAGTCTATCCCAGTCTTGTAGCAGCATGTGTATGAGGTGGGGTCTCTTGATTAGGATCTCCTTATAGAAAGTGTATTCCCAAAGGCTTGTACTTCTAGGAGAACTTTGGGAGCAACGGCTATGTGTATTTGCTAGCTTCGCATCGCATGTTGGACGCAGGAGCTGAAGCGGATGTCGCCCGCTGAGCGAGAGAAGGCTCATAGCTGTCTCTCATGCATTACCTGGGTCAGCTACTTGTACAGGGGCTGCAGTGTTGTGACAGCAGGTGCAGAAGCGAGTGGTGTTGATCGGTGGCAAGGCATTGGGAGAATTCCATGCTGCATGTGACACATGTGTGTTCGAAAGATGAGACAATGTCGGAGGCAGCCTCTGCATACGTCAACGCAAAGATCATTATCAAGCTTATCGGCAACGTTGGCAAGGCTTCATCGAGACTTCTTTGTGCTTTTGCTTGAAGCCGTGATGACACGCTTTGTACAGATGTCGTGCTGCGTAGCCAGTGATCCACACAGGTTATTAACAACGACCCAGACACTGGCAAACTTCTGAAGCTGGCTTTCGTCAGGGGCTCATGTGTTTAGCAGACCTGCAGCAAGGGGTCAGGCTGTTATTGATGAGGTGCCCAACTACTGCGTGTCTGCAGCTGAAGTCTTGATCCCAGCTTCGGACATCTCCGAGCACATCTCTACGGCAGGCGCTTCTATCCACTTCTAGTGGTAAGCTCGAATTGGGCAGACAGCTGCATTCAACCATCACGTGCAGCACAGGCACCGAAGCAAGCGGAACCTCCAACATGAAGTTTGTCATGAATGGCGGCCTGATTGCGCGAACTCAGAGTAGTGTTTTCTACGAGCGGATGCAGAAGCAAAGTTGCCCTGGTAGCCCAGGTCGGCACGATGGATGGTGCAAACATTGAGATTCGTGAGGAGTGTGGTCGGAACCCGAGTCAGTACACTTCTGTGTGCCAGCCTTAGTTCGTCGCATCCCACATGTCAGGTGAGGATACCATGTTCATCTTCGGCTGCTTGGAGCACGAGGCCATCACATAACAGCCTGGTCTTACTCCCCTGCTATTTTTGGCACTGCTGCTGCTGACGATGATGTAAATAAGCTGGAACGTTCAGGTTGCCGGTGTGGCACTGCAAGCCAAGAAGGGAGACTATCCGATCGACAGCCGATTGCAAGCAGTGTTCCAGGTTGGGTCGGTCCCCTCCATCCATGGCAGAAGATGCGTCATCAGCGGTCATGTTCATGAACTCAAGTCACACTTCGTGGAGGCAATTCGCAACGGTGAATTCTCCAGGGGGGAGCCGCAGGCCTCAAGATTCTCGGGACCTTAGGACTGTACCTGTTCGCGAGACTGTGTCTGTTCTGTGAGGCGCATGGCGAGTTCTGCTCGCTGATTGACAAGCTCTGCAACACATATGGTGCAGGTACCTGGGAAGGCGCAGTCTGTAAGTGGGCTTCCGGTGAACGTTTGCTGTTGGGTTGCGAGGGGCTTCTCTCCCGGCTCTGCCCCGAAAGCCGGGGTCGGTGGACCAATTTAACTGCTAGAGGGCCGCCTCGGGGACGGCCCCGGGGTCCCAAATGTGGGATATGTTGGGCTGCAGTAGAATTTTAGAGTGCTAGCGCTTGCTTGGAGGTCTCCGTCTGCCTTGTTAAACTCCTGCCCGAATGCAATCTGTCTCGTTGGTGTTCCAGCTATTTCGCATGGCCAGCGCAAAAAATGCCGCAACCTTGGGAGACGCTAGGCTACAGTAGGATTTCAATCTGCCAGCGCTTTCTTCGATGTCTCCTGTCGCCTTGGGGTGGGGGGAGCAAGGGGGAGGAGTGTGGCCTGGGCCCTTCGGGGGCAAAGCCAAAATTGCATTCAGAGATCGTTTTTTGGGATCTTGACGAGTTTTTCCATGAAAGTTGTAGCAGTCCTCGGCCTCCCGTCGAGGGCCTTCGGAAAGGGAGCTCTAAACTGTGCTGCAGGTGACAGGTACTTGGTCGTGAAGGACTTCCCTTCTTACGTCGATGCGCAGAAGCGAGTTGATGCCACCTACGCAGATAAAGCAAAGTGGTGCAAGCTCAGCATCCAGGTGCTGCCCTTTGACTCATCGTGCAAGTTACATGTGCTCATCTATCTATTGTATGTCCTTCACCGTTGGATGGACAGTGCAGGCAGCCTCCTCCATGGCGAAGTTCTCCACCGACCGCACGATGCGGGACTGGGACTCTGGATATGTCGCTGTGTGATGCCCCCGATCATGCAGTCTGTGTCAGGAGTATGCCGATGTGATCTGGGGTGTCAAGCCAGCACCCCGCCCAATGGAGATGCGTCTTAGCTCAATCAGGCTCTGTGGGTTCATGCATGCCAGAGCCATAACACCTTCAAACCTTCTGAACTGAGGTGATGCACATTTTTGGGGCTATGGGGATGCGACCGGTCAGGGGGAGATCCTTTGGCTGGCCGTGGTACCCCAACATGTAGCCCGGACCTGTTTTAACTGCCCAAGTGCTCGCTCTTGGCACAAGCATCACTTACAGTGAAGAGGTTTCAAGCCCGTGTTGGATTGAATTCTAGTTGCTCCTGAGCAAGCCCTACCTTGCACGAATCGTTGGAGCATTAGCATCCACTCTACGCAGGCATATCAAGCCTGTTCAAGTGCTTGCTACATTGATTTCTGTGTTGAGCAACATGGAGGCAGGTCAGAAACTTGTGCTCATGACGGAGTCTGAGTATGAGTTTCTCCCAGGGCAAACAGGGAAAACCTGTTCCCCAAGTTGTTGATGTTGTAGACTGAGATAGTGTATCATGCTTCGCCATATCGGCCTAGCAGCTTTTGAGGGCCTCCATGCTGCACTTCCCTTATGCGAGTAGACCGTGAACTGTTTGTTGCTGCTGCTAGTTGTCGCGGCGCAAGAACTCGGTCTCATCTGCAGGACAAAACAATTGCAGATTGCAGGTTGGATCGCTGCACTGGCCTCAAACCCCAAGTCCAATTCTCCTGTTCAGGCTGGTCAAAAGGGGCCCAGAACTTAGAGGGAACTACAAGCATCTGCCAGTCGGCATTGAGCCAGCAACGAGGCTGTCGCACGGAGCTGGCAAATTGGCTGCAAGTGCACGCCTCGAAGCATGTCTGGTCTTATCAGGTAGTTGCCCAGATCGGTGCCAATGCAGCATGCCTTCATGAAAATACGCAATGTCGATTTTCGGCCCAACCAGAGAAGACTATGAAGCGACATACCAGGAAGAGGCAGCAAACCGTGCCAAGGCTTGTCGAGTCACAAACGGGCTAGGTGTTTCGCAGTATGCAGCTCAATTTGCATTCTCTTGTCCTAGTTTGTGGCTGGTGTTCAAGACCTGCTTCCATGTTGTCCCGGGCTGCACGGTCCTTTGACTCTCATGGGGGAGCCGCAGCAACAGCAGCAGCCTAATCAGGAGGATGACAGTGGTCCAACGTTGTTGGAACGAGTCCTCAATGTGGGCAAGCGCTGCTTGGGAGTCTTTGCCAAGGGTTCACCACCAGAGCCTGCACCGGAGGTTGCTGCATACCTGCAATCCATCGGTATTCAGCAGAGGCACATGCTGCAGATTTACACCGTTTTCGATTACTTGAAGCATTGTGAAGATGATGAGTCTTTCATCACAACTGTCTATTCTGTATCCGCGGATGTAATGCCACTACTCATTGAGGACCGCCGAAAGTATGTGATAAGGTTGCTGAGATGCATCTTGAAGTTGGGAGATTGTGAGGAGGAGGCCACCTGGGACAAGTTTCTGTGGGTAATGTTGCGCTTTTGTTCATTGAATCGTGTGGAGCTTGCCCAGACGCTCTTCCTTTGCATTCTTCGCATACGCGACAGTACCACGTATCACTACATTCGCAGCTACGAGCTCCAGGAGTTCTTCGCAGCTTACAAAAACTGTCCGATCAAGTCCTTTGACACAGCCGAGATCAACTTTGATTTACTTCCGATCCGAAGATACTATGCTTCGGATTTCGCGGAACTGCTAATGAGATACTCGGTTTTGTTGCATCCTATTCTTCATCTACAGCAATCCCTTCAATCCAAGCTTCCAAGCATGGACTTCTGGGACAACAGCACAGGGTCCGTGTCGTTCTGCCGGAAGATTACGTTTGACTTTTTCATGATGGAGACCGGTCGCATTTTTCTGCGAGGCGAGCCACCATTCCGAGAAACGTGCGACATGCTCTGCCCAGATGCTTTGGGATGCGTGCCGATCAACCAAGACCAGTGGATTTTGAGGACTTGGGTTGCGAAGGGTGGCCAAGGCCTCGCGCAGGTCTTTGTTTGGGGTGAGCAGGCGCTTCCAGAGGTTATCGACTTGCGTCAGGCGGCTAAGGAGGAGGAGGAGGAGCGGGAGCGCCTGCGTCTTGAGAGGGAGAAGGCGGAAGAGGAGGAAGCAATGGAGAAGGAGATTTCCAAAGCAGAACTGGCAAAAATACAAAAAGAGACAGAGATAAAGCTGGAGGACATGACGGAGGAGGCAGCCAAGCGCCATCGTCAAACGCAGGCCATGGAGAAGGCCAAGCGGGAGGCCGAGATGAAGAAGGATCGCTCTATGAGCGACAAGCCTTCTTACGATCTTACAGCACTGACTCGCCAGGCTGCTGTAATGGACGAGGAGTTTGCCGCCCCTGTGGATGTCTTGCCACCTGCATGGATGAAGCACTGCACCATCGCACCGGCACAGCAGCTGCGTGGTGCAGATCCGCCATTGGCGGTACAGTTGAAGCAGCCGGCGAAGGTCATCTACAAAGTAACGAAGGAATCGGATCGCAGAAAGGTCGCTAGGGCAAAGAGGGCTTTGACTGATGAAGCCGAAGCCGAGGACGAGGATGCGGACAGCCCGGATAATCCGGACAGCCCAGATGAAACCTGAGTTGCTGAGTTCGTTGTGTGTTGCATTCGCCCGGATTCTTGATTGTAACCAGATGCGGGACAAATGCACTTTCTCAAGAGTGTCACCCATCTGTGCAGAAGCCGTTTGTGCAGCCAACATCTTCGTTGGGCAGGCTACTCTCCACAGAACAGAATCTCATCTTGCATGCTTGCCTGCGCAGGCGGAAAACATGGACTTGCGATGCATTCTAGATCCCCTCGAAATAGCTCAAGCTCGTTCAAGCACTGTACTGGTGCGCGCTAGCCGCACTAGCCTGCATAATTTGGAATGCTGCGCCTTTGCATCATGAACGGCTCACTTAGGCTTGGCGACTATCTGTTCGCTTTTCAAAGATGATGGATGAATGCTCTTTGCAGCAGCAGGAGGACCTTGCAACGGTATTTGATCACGTGCACGCGAACGGACGGCCGCTCTAACTTCGTGCAGATGCTTCTGCAAGTCGAGCGCAGCAATATGTGCCTGGCTTGGAGGAGTTGGGAAGGGCACTCGGGGACAGTTTTTGAAAGGCTTTGATGATCTTGATGTTGTGTGCAGTCGAGGTGGATTCTCCAACTTCAAGAAGAACGCCGGGAGGTTGAGGTTTCGAGAGGGAGGTGACATGAGACTGTGGCGTAACATCTCACCGAACCTGCAGGAGCAGCTGCTTGCTGCCTTGTCGCAGGCTTGCAATCCGAGAGCATTGCGCTGAAGGTTGCGTTTTCACAACGAGTGGTGCAGAAGAGACCACCTTGGAGCGGATGCAAGTTGTCAAAGTGAGTGTGGAAGGTTCTGATCAAGTGCGCTTCGCATGATCCACATAATCGGTCGACCCGAGCGGACGTACATGTGAGTGCCCATCTGTCCCATGCAACGGGCAATGTTTGAAGTTCTTCGAAGCCCTCTAAGAAGCCGGGAGGGACGCGGCTTTGGGTATAGATCCAAAGCTTGTCTGGTGTGCTTCCAGGTATGGGCCCCTTTTCGGCGCTTGTATTTTCCTGACTTCGAAAGCAAAAGCTTTAAACGGGTTCGTTTGGCGACGACTAGAGTCTAGAGGCTTCAAAGGGTTTCAGTGCCAGAGCCTCTCTGCGTGAAGCTTGTGGTACTGTATGCTTGCAGAATGTCGGGCCATGCGGACCCGTGCTGTTGCTTCGGGTCAGGTTAACGAGCTGCAGCAGGCCCTGCTTCTTGTCTCCAGTCCACTCTCGTGACGACGACGAGTCTGAGTGGCAACAGGCCTTGTCCCTGGAGGCCAAGTGCTCGGGTCCTTTTCTCCATCATCGGCTTTGCCCCATCCTCCAACATCCTGGGAGGCCCGTTCAAAGGAATGCCTGGTTGACGAATTCCGGCAGCTCCAGGTTCAGCCTGCAGCGCTTTCTCGCATTGCATGTGCCCGCAGCCAACAAGCTTTTGGCCTTGCAGGAGCATTTGAGAGCCACCAAAGCGTGAAGCTTGCTGATAGAATGTCTCCATGGAGCTCGAGCTTTTGTTGTAGCTGCATGAAACCGGCAGGGTTGTCAGAGTCCGCAGATGTACAGAGGAACTCGTCTCCTTGCCCCACAGGAAAATCACATCCCTCATGCTGTTCCGCCAAGACAGGAGAGCATCATAAGCGTGAGTCCCTTTTAAGCTTCAGGTGCCCACAAGCCCGCATCATGAGCATCAGCTCCCCAGCCTTTGCATTCTCGGCGCCAACGAGAGCGCATCATCAGCATCAGCTGCCCAAGCCTTTCAGCCGCCCATGTCCTGCAGCTGCCCAGCCCAGACAGGAGAGCATCACAGCATCAGCGCCCCAGCCTTTTCACTCTAGCATCAGCTGCTGAATCCATTCTCGCCCATGTCCTGCATCTGCGCACAGCATCATCAGCATCAGGTCCCCTTCGTTTTCATCCTCAGGCGACAGCTGCCCAATCTAATCAGCCGCCATGTCCTGGCCCATACAGAAGAGCATCATCTGCATCAGCCAGTGTTTTCACCCTCTGGCGCGAATGAGCGCTCATCATGAGCATCGGCTGCCCGATCCAACCAGCCACCATGTGCTGCATCTGCCCGGCCGAGACAGGAGAGCACCATCAGCATCAGCTTTTTAACGAATTTCATCCTGAGGTGCCTGTGAGCACTCATCATGAGCATCAGCTGCCAAACCGAATGAGCCGCCATGTTCTACAACTGCCCGGCCGAGACCAGAGTGCTGTTTCGAACCGTTTGCTGTTGGAGGCACGAGCTTCGGCTCGAGTGTTTCCGTTTTTCTGGGCCATCCATCCTTTTCGCATTTACCTCTAGCCGAACAGCGGCCGGACGTTGTTCTTTGATGTGCCTGGGTTGCAAGTGAGGATCACCCAAGGTGCAACTGTCGGGTGCTCGCATGGTGGTCTCAATAGATCTGCATGCAGCTGAGGCACATTGGAGTTCTGGCCTCAGTTTTCCAGCAAATGTGAAAGACTTTGGAAGCGGCGTCGTCATTCAGGTAATTATCAAGAAAGATGTAATTGTGCAACCACGAAGCACCCCAGGCTTTTCGCCTCTCGTGGTCAATTGTTGTTCTTGTGTCAGCCGCAGCGGGCTTGGCGTTCGTTCAGCACTTGCACCCGCAGCGGATATTCGCATTCCCCCAGCATGGTACACCACCGCCTCGCTGTCAAGGGCAGCTTCGAATTCGCCGATGGCGAGACACCGCCGCGACACAGACATCCGAATCTCGGTAGCAAGGATAAAATCGCCGTTCTTACCGCACCAGCAAGGCTGCTTCTGCAACGTTATAGGCTCTAGCTGGGTGTGCAATGCGTCTTCGCCGGTTCGACCTAGCGTAAACTCTAGCAAGGTCTCCCGTGTACCCAGGCCACATCGGCAAATGCGGCGCGACACTAGCCTCCATCACCACCGATATCACCATGCCCATCATGCCGCCGTTAATTCTGTGCGCGACCCGGATTGTGTCAGACGGTTCTGGTCAGCAGAGCCAGAGATTTCGAGTCATTGACTCGCTCAAGCAGGGTCTGTCGTTCTCATTGGCAGGTTGGCGAGGCAGCGCTATCCCAGGCCGGGGGACGCTGCGAAACGGATGCTTTGTGCGTGCATGTCGGGTTTAGGAATCGGCAGGTAGACAATATGCAAGACCCACGGCCTGCTGACAAATTTGGGGGCCCACAGGCAAGCTGTGGGGCAGATAGGGCGGATCTGAGAAAACGGCTAGCCTCGCCGCCTGGCCTTTGCTTTGCCGACCTGGCGGAGAGGACAACGATCGCCTCGACGAGGTCGGGCTGGGCAACGGCACCCAGCCCAAAGTGGAAGGCAAGCGAGCCCAATCCTCGGTGGGTTTGAACCAGCTGCGCAGCCAGCATAAAGCCACACTAAGGCATGGAGCCAGTGGGCATGTGCACTGATGTGTGCAAGCAGAGCCACAGATGGCTGCTGTTCCTACAAAGGCACAAATGCGGGACTGAGAAGCAGTGGGAGCTTTGCTTCAGTGCGGTCTTCTGTGGCCAGACGACTCGGGCAGCTGTGAATTCCTTCCTGGGAGCCCGACGAGAACTGCTGAAACAGGCCGTCCTGACAGCCTCATTGCAGCCCTGTATAGATACTGACTGTTGTGGGATTGCGGTGCTTCTTTTAAGAGAAATCCAGAGGCTGGACGCAGGCACAATGCATCCCAGGCTTCGGCACTGCAAAGTGTGGGCGGCTCGGAGACTGACCGCGAGTCGCCCGCATTGTGACGCTGACTCGAGGCACGCCCTGGAGCGCGGGCCGCTGCGCTGGTGCCGAGCCGGAGCCGGCCCGGGGCCCAAAGACACGGCCCCCGGACACAGTACTGCTCTTCAGGGGGAACGGCACAAAAAGAGAGAGGGAGGGCTAATCACGAAGCTCAAAAATTGCCGTCCGGTCTTGAAGCAGGCAAGCGGTGCAACGGTAGCTGTAGGCATATGCTCAAGGATTTCGTGCAGCAGCGTGAGCCGAAATTGATCAGAGGGATTTGGGGTTTTTTGAGGCTTCGCCAGCGCATTTCTGCAGTTTCAGGTTTCCGACCAGATTTCGGTGTCCGGGCAGAGTGCGGCAAAAAGGTTCTTGCAGCTGACCACGTTCGGCCAGATCTCGACAATTTGCGTGGTTCCGTGTGGTGTTTTGGCCGGATGTCCGTAAATTATATATATATATATATACATACATATATATATATATAGAGCGTTTCCGGGCACATTTTCGGAAGCCTGAGACTGGCAGGTTTTCGGTGAGATTTCGGCAAATGTGTGGGCCAGATTTCTACTGAGGTAAGACATGACCGAAGTTTGTAGTCGCTTTTTAAGTTTGTGGCTGATTTTGCTAGTTCCCGTGCGAGTTTTGGGCAAGTCTGTACATCTGGAGGCTGAACGGTGAAACATTTAGTTTTCAGGGTTTAGGGTTAGGGTTTGAGGGGCCGTGATCTGAAAACACGTTGTTCTTTGTTCGGGCCGCCCGATCCGGTGTGTATCACGGGGCCTGATCCTCTACAACTGAGCTCATTAGTGGGTCTACTGCCGCGCAACAGCCTAGAAACCCTCAGAGCAATTACACCGCGCGACGATGAGGGAAGCGAGCCAGTGAAGGCTGTATGATCTTGGTTGGTGTACCTTCTCCTGATGCAGAGGCTTCGCCTGGACTGCCCGTTTGGGAGCTCATCTGGGAGGCGTTTACATCGATTTGTGTTTCACTGCTTCTGTCGTCTGCATCTACAGCTCCGACTCTTCAGGACCATTTCGACTCTGAGACCTGCGTCCCAGATACCGCGGGAGTCCTGCGGCCTAGCCCAGAGTTCTGGAGTGCCTCGGCCTTTTCTGGAGTGTCGGTTCTCCGCCAGCAATGCAGCTCGAATCTTCCAGGTGCCGAAATCGGATACAAGCGGGGCAAGGACCTTTGGGTGGTGTCGGAACAGCCAGCGAAGTTGTCGATTGTAGATAGTCCAGCTAGAGTGGCAGCTCTGTTTGCGTGACGCTCTTCAGAGAGCTCAGCCCCTGGAACTAGAGCCACAAGTGGTTGCCCTATCGGCGGTTCTAGAGCGGGGAATCTTTTGGGTTTGGAACTGGCCTTGTCTAACAGCACACATCAGCAAAAAGGGGGAACACCAAGCAGTCAAAGCGACGAGCACATAGTGCTTCAAAACCACTGGAGTGTGGGGGTTGGTCTTTGTTGGTCGATCACGAGAGCTCCTCCTCTTTCTCCTCCTCGCGCGGGAGCTTTTTTTAAAGGCCTTGAGGGTGGGATTGTTTGTCAACCAGTCTTGTTTCCGGAGGATATTCCCCAGCACGGTCTTTCTGAGAAGCCCTTCGCAATCTACTAGCACCTTACGGACATGCTTCTGTTAGCACAACATCCCGGTATACTGCTGCTTGTATAAGCTCCACCTGGTCAGGGTGGAGCTGTCTTCCGGGCACATGGCTCTCGGGTTTTTGTTGGTCTTCGATGTTTCATTTTACATCGACATACATCGACCAGCTAACTTTCCTGAACCCGTTGCAACCCTGCCCGCGGGAAGGCTGAATGGGGCTATACATGTAGGCGGACCGATCTATCCTTGCGTTCGTGTGCACATGTATATATATATATATTTCTCTGTATGTCTTTGTGTGTATATACATCCAAGCGATTTTTTTATTGCCTGTGCACGTGGCATGTTCGGGTATCATGTAGATGTGCCTTTTCTGGATAGTTGGAGACAGTTGCACCTACATAAGCATGAATATGAATGTGCATACATGCATGTATGACTTATGTATGTACGAATGTACGCATGTATGTATGTATGTATGTATGTATGCATGCATGCATGCATGCATGCATGTACCTAGGTAGGTAGGTAGGTAGGTAGGTGGGTGGGTGGGTGGGTAGGTAGGTAGGTAGGTAGGTCGGTCGGTGGGTGGGTGGGTGGGTGGGTGGGTAGGTAGGTAGGCATGCATGATCATGCATGTATGTATGGGTGCTGGGTTGATAGCCCACTGCATGTGTAGATGATGCTGGACTGTTGCCAAAGCTGTTGGCTTCCAGAATCGCCCGCACGTGTGTCCCAGCATGTCGCTCAGTTTCTGATCAAGCAGCTTCTCGACAGGAGTTGCAATGGTATCAGCCAAAGAATGCAGAGTGACCCTCGGACAGCAAGAGAGCGACTTCTGCATCCCCCTACATAGCCATTCTAGTTCTTCTCTCCGTCTGAGTCGCCACGGTCGGACGTGCTGCCCTGCAGATGGCGTTACATCTAGTGATTTCAGTCCTGCACGAAGCCGCTCAGTAGGGTCATCCTGCAATCGTTTCAGCTTTGCCTTGTGTGTGCCTGGAGGCAAAGATGGTGCTTTGATCATCACGGCTAAGCGAGAGCGGCAGGCATGGGAGAAGCCACAGGACGGAGAAGCGGAAAACCGGCATTCGAGCCACGGTCAGCATCTGCCACTCAGGGCCCCCAGTGCCAAGTCGTGAACTGGGACTCCAGCGAGCAGCCTTTGGACAACATATCATGTGCCGCTCTTACAAAAGCATGGCGCATTGGTCCGTGGAGATACTGGATCTGTAGAGTCACGAGGTGCTGTTTGTGCTCCTCCATATTTTCAGTACTACAACCCTTGCGACTTGGTGCGGCCACCTCGTCGCAAAAGCTCTTGAACTGGGCGTGTTGGCAGAAGCACAGCTCTGGCACATTCCCGAGGAATGACGACTCCGGGGGTCCGGCATGCGACTGTTCGGAATCAGCAGAGTTCACTTCTGCATCTCTCATGACTCGCGGCAAGAAGGACGCAGTCAGCTTATTTTAATGCTGTTTCAGGGTTCGATCACGTCTCCATGACGACCCCAATCTTTAGGCACCGGCACACCAAGAAAGGGATGCACCTGTCCAGGGCAAGTGGGAGGATGTGCAGGAAGAAGTCGTTGAAAGGGGCTGAGGCCAAAGCACACGATGGAAGGGGGCAGGGCGGCTGGGGTCGAATCTTGCATAGGCTTCTCAGGCTTTGCAGATGCAGGAAGCCTTGGCAGCCTCTCAACACCTCTTGCAGTTCTAAGAATTGTTGTGGAGGAGTTTTCCTACGGCCTTTTCGAGCTACGTGCCAAAATCGACACCAGACCAGGCCGGAGAGAGCCGGAGAGAGCGGACCAAAACAGCTTTGAGAGCTCCGAGGAGCCTGGTCCAGCTGGTGGGCAGTCGGTCGGCAGCTTTGAAGTGAAGACGGGCTTTGAGAAGACGGCACGTGCCATCCCCCTTCAGGTGATTTCGATTACGTACCCTGGCCCAAGAACGGGGAAATCGACATCATGGACGCCTTCCAGAGGATGGTCAAAGCGAGTGCAACCTGTCCTCTTCTGGCAGGGGAGGCATTTTCCTTTTTCTGGGATAACCGTGGCTTTCAAGGTGATCCATGCTGGTGAATCCGGGCTTCCCAGCAGTGCCATCCAGCATGCAGGCAGGAGATGGGAGGAGAGCAATGGAAAGCTGTTTCAAGGCTCCAGAAGATGCTTCAGTACTACGACAGATGCTCGAATGATCGATCGCGAGTGGGAGAAGCTGTCTGCTCAGTGTAGCTGTCGCTCGTAAGCCTTAGCACAGCTGGCCACGTCAAGGTATTACCACACCTGGCAGCTGGAATGGGACGAAGACTTTATAGAGATTCGTATAGATGGCGAGGTCATTCTGAAGGCACCTGGCCTGAGCGTGGAGTTGGGGCTCCGGTAGAGCGTCTGTCATCATCTTCCCCCTCAGCTTGACCTCTCCGTGGCGGATTCGAAGCGAACTTCTTGGCCCAATCCGTTCACGGAGGGCAAGCGGCAGCCTCATAGGGTTCCCGAGACCTCTTGGATTCAAGCTCTTTTTGTTGTGGAGCTTCGAGGAAGTTCTTCATGATCCTGAACTTGGCAGTTGGTGGTCACTCAGGAGGCTCATCGTTATGTGTGAACTTGAGCCAAGAGTTCATTAAGTTCATTCCCGGCAGACAGGAGATGCTTCCTTGACCCAGTTCCCTTCACAGCTCCACGTTGACTACATCCGTCGCCGCCTCACTCCTGCACTCGACGTGCAATCATGGGACACACTTCGATGACCAGCGGAGGTGTGTACCAGAAGAAAGGCACGACGGTGAGTTAGATGCAGGAAAGCTATGCCCGACATTGCTCCTTTTGTTTCGGGAGCGAGCCGGGGCCGGGCGCCCCGGACTCCACGAGGTTCACTCCACCAAACATGGCATCGGCCAAGGAGAGAATGCTTGCTGCATGCAGCATGATGCAGGGGAGGACGGGCCCCAGCTAGAAACTTATCCGGAAGCCAAAGCGTGAGCTTTATTTGCGATCTCACATGGCGGGTGCGCAGGGGGAGTGTTATATGGCAGCCACATCCGAGCTGCTTTGATACCACGGCGTCCTATGACTGACAAGTTTGCAGGGACTCTCGCACCCTCTCATCATGGACTGACCGCGGTAGCTGCCACCCAGTTCTTCTGTGCTGCACGGCTCAAGCTTGAAGAATGTCATATAAACCCAAGACAGGCAGCAGTGGCTGCAGCTGTTTGCAAGACTGACGTATCCTCGAGCTCATCCAAAAGGCTGTGAAAGCAATCGACAACACGACAACACGGTGGTTCGTTTTCAGAGTTTCTTGAATGAGCAATGGCAAACGGGATGCAGAGTTGAAGCCTCGATCTTCTGGAGCTGTGCACATTTGAAGGCTGTGCTCGGCTCTTGTCAGGTTTGGGCGTTGATGGTCCGCCAAGCGGCTATGAACCTTCGCAGGCCAGCGAACGCACACGGAACTCCAATGTGAGATTCCTTGCTCGGGCAGGCACCTGGTGGAGGTGGTGGTGGCGGGTCCATGGTACCGGTCTCATAATCCTTTCGTTTTTGAGCCAGTTGTGAGCGCTGCCTCTCCAAGGCAGCTGTATCTCAGCTTTTCACCCGGCTCGCTCAGGAGATAGAGGCGGGTAATGTGGTCCGAGGTTGCTAAGGTCTTCGTTTCATGAATCAATGATGCTCAACGCATCGGAGACGGAAGGAGCAGAAGCCAAAGAATTGCATACATTTTGTCGTGGATTTTCTTTGCAAGCCTTGCTCTCGGTGCTGAAGTCTCCGTTGCCGGGTCATACGGCGATAGTGGTGTCTTGAGGCACTATCCCGAGCACTTGCACGGCTTTGCCTCAATTTGGCAGGCACACGTCCAGCTTCCGCAGGCTCCACAGACTCCGGGTGTGTAATCGTGTGGCGCCTGAGATGGACCCTGACCTGGAGAGGGAGAGGCACGAGGCCGGGCGAGTTCTGAAGGCTCAGGCTGTTACGCATTTAGCCCCTGCATTTAGCAGGTCGTGAACTTCTTCAAAGCACACAAGATCTCCACAGCCGTGGCTGCCCACTTCACGAATGCAGGGTATCCTCCACAGAATTCAACACCTCCTGTTTTAAGCTGCAGAGGCGCACTGCGCAGGTACGATACTCTCGACACGCTGACAACGCTGTCGCCAGACAGCCTCGTCGATGTCGAGGCTCTTGACCGCTTGTCGATATTCATGTGGCCAGCCCGCGAGTCCTTGGTGTTCTGGAGGCCTTCAACAATGTAAAGTGGCTGCCCGGGCACAAGGCATCCTGTCGGTAGTCTGCAGCCGGTGCAGGTATACCGTTATATCTAAAGACAGGTCAGACTTCAGCAAATCTTCAGCGAGATCTCTGCCAGAGTTCGCGCGTGCGCATCTCCATGCCCGCAGTGCCTCTGCGAGCACCTGGGCCAGAATCCATGTTGAAGGTACCGACAGCAGTTCGGAGAGGGCCAGCCCAATCGCAACAGACCCAGAGACAGTGCGACTGTTTTTCAGGGCAATCGTGCTGCATCGGTGCTGGCCTTGGCGAGGCCGGCGGCATCATCAGGGCCAGCAAGGCCAAGTTGGCAACGCACCGGTCGGGGCCTCACGGCCTAATCGAGAATCATCGAAGCGTTAAGTTTCTTCCAGTTCTTGGGTACCTGAGGTTGATAGGCGACACGACTCGCCACCAAATTACAACAGATCCCATCACTCCCTACACGCCGCTTGGCATGCTTAGTCATTGTATGTTGTCTGCGGGAAGCTGCAGTTGGATCTCAGGACAACTATGCGCAAAGTGCTCATCCAGCAAGCCACCCTCACCATGCTCACCATCCTCACCATCCACCAGTTAGCCATCATCCCGCAATCAGCCACCAGGGCACCCCTCCGCAGCCCTATGCAAGCGCCTCAGTTCTGCATAGTCTCCGTGAGCACGAGACGAGAAAAACAATTTTGCGCTCTCGCATTCAAGCAAAGCAAGAGGAGCAGCGACAAGACCGCAATGCCAAACTGTTTATTGGGCACGAGACGCTGCAGTCAAAGGGAACCCCCTGAAACCAGTCAACCTGGCGGGTAGTCCGCGTTCACATTGAGCCTCCCACATCAATTGAATTCGGGAGATCAGGCCCAATTCGTTCGCCGATCGGAAATATCGTACAAACCCCATACGGCCTTTCCTGACCGAGGCTGTTGGGGGGAATGGATGCTTTGAAAGAAGCAGCTGAAGCGTACGTGCGGACTCCCTCTTCGCGATGAGTGAGAGAGAGGGGTTGGGGTCCTTGACCAGACCCTCAGGTCCTGGAGAAAGAAAGAGGGGGCCCCGAGCCGCAAGGGAGGGGCAACTCCAATTATACCTGCGGTAATACAGAAAGCAAGGCAGAGAGACAGGGACACGATGCACTGCTTGGAGCAACAAGGCCAGAGTGAAAGGTTGCCCTAGTCGCGGGACGTCCTGTGCAACTCGCCTTGCTTTGCAAGTTCTGTCGCCGGAAGCAGGGAGACCCGAAATCCGTCCAGCCGAGGGCATATCAGACAATGCAGTCCTACTGGAAAATACGCTAGCTGAAGTGAGGTTTCTAGCCTGAAGCGCTGTGTCGTAGTCGAGCCCGAACAGGCTTTGCCTGGTGACTCCGCACCGGAGCGGGGTGCCGCTAGCAGCTGCAGGGCTCGCTTAGCAGGCTTCGCATGTTGCACATTCTGTTTCACGTGGAGGTGCCCACTTGCGCGGCAGAACCTCCCTCTAAACCTGGCGAAATACAGCAAAGAAGAGGACACAGTTCCTATGTTGTGTGGAGCACAAATATCACAAAGTCTCGCAGGCTGAGAAGGCAACATTCGGAAGTTTCACCTGAAAAGGTTCGGAAAGTCGGTTGCTCTTTATGCGCAGGGCCGGAAACTTCAGTATCAGCCGAAACAAGGCAAAAGGGAGACACAGGGAGCTCCCGCCTGATTGGGTGTGAAGGTATCGTGGTTTCCCCTCGACGTTACGACAAGAACGTGTAGCCCACGAAATCCATGCTGCAAGCGCGGTGGTCGAGCTGGCAGATTGTGCGCCTTCTGCAGCGGATTGAGTCGTCTCCACTGTGACCGACTTGACCATGAACTTTGCAGCTTTGGTGGATCGGGACCGGAGCCATGGCACCTGCCGAAGCCAAAACGAGTATGAGGAATACTTGGACGGTGCAAGCACCTGGGGTCATGCAGAACCGCAGAACACCCCTCGCAATCAAGCTTGGGCACACATCGCCAGGCAGAGAGTCGAGAGAGGGGACTTGCTTTCGGTCCACAGCAACCCAAAGCGAGAGAGCTTCAAGCAGAGGCCGTGATGTGCCCCTCCAGCGGCAAGCGTGCCAGTGCGGAGAAATGAAGAGACCTGATAGTAATTCCGATGGCCGAGTCTTCTGGCTGGTCCGCAATCCTTGAACGAAGTTTCTGCTTCAGGAGCCATTAAGCCCGAAACTCTGCACCTCAAGGTTTGGCTGAGGCCATGTTCAGAGGAGGATCCCCAACATAGATAGATGTTCGTACATGGAGCGAGAGTTTCGTCGAGGGCAAAACACAGTCAATGCACCAAGAGGAGTTTCTCCCCAAGCCGGTATGAGATGCAGAGGGGACTTAATCCGACAAGACAGAGTTGGTCAACAGCTCAGGTTGCAAGCCATCACAGTGTCGCGCATCCAGCCGTTCTCCCAGAAAATGTCTCTTGCGTTCCCTACGTATGTACCTCTGTGCACGTGTGTGTGTGTGCGCATGTGTGTGTGTGTGTGCGTATGTATGTATGTATGTATGTATGTATGTATGTATGTATGTATGTAATGTATGTATGTATGTATGTATGTATGTATGTAGGTGGGTGGGTGGGGAGGTAGGTAGGTAGGTAGGTAGGTAGGTAGGTAGGTAGGTAGGTAGGTAGTAGGTAGGTAGGTAGGTAGGTAGGTAGGTAGGTAGGTAGGTACTGTAGGTATCATTAGTCTGTTTGCTGGTGTGGCGTACAGCTGACACCTATTGCGTGAAACCTCCAGCCCAGTCCCTGCTGGAATACGTAGGTTCAGCAACACGGATGTTTGTGGATGTCTAATAAGTCTAATAGAAACATTTCAAACACGATAATGCAACACAGTACAACATAATATAGTTATCCAAAAGTCTATGTATATACATAGTCTTGTATATATATATATGTATATATATATATACACGCTACATTCCGCTACATAAAAATAATCTAATACAACATTGTATGCACCCCACCCAACCCACGTCCCGCAGGCCAAAAAAAAGGCAAAAACAAGGAAAAAGCAACAAGAATGAAGCCAGGTCGTCGTAGAGTACACTGGGTCTAACAGTGCGCCGCATTGGCGTGGCACTGGCTCTCACAGACCCCTCCGGCCCTCCCTTCCGAGCACCTTACTTTTTCCTTACGCCTCTTTGCAACTTCTGTATATATATATATATGCATGTGTATATATATATACACACATACACACACACACACATACACACACACACACAGAGCAAGAGGTGCGTGCAGAGATGAGTATTTGCTTTGGCAGGGAACGTTCTTTGCTCAGGGTGGGAGTGTCTCCGTAGTACTTATGCATTTAGGCTGCAAGCAAACACTGATTAGTCTGTTCTGTAAGGCAGGAGCAGACATTGTCACATCTGTTGCTTCTTGGGTCTGATCTTTATGTACAAGAAAGCTCCATGAATCGAATTTTGCCATGTGGGGTTCCGGAGAGACCCAAGGTTCCGAGTGGCTGGTAGGGGACAGAGGGGACAGTCGTTGCTGGCAGGACCAGGG